GCTCCCGGTTCGACCGGCGTGATGGATTTTGTTCGGAGGGACGGAATGTTGCGTAAATTGCCTCGAAGGGAATCAGACCGAGATCGGCGGCGAGCGGTTTTCGAGGCGAAAAGAACGAATATTTCTCTGTACCCCGCGTCAACTTACCCCGATCTTCCCTACTACGACGAGAAATTTGGTAAAACGCCCAAATTTCGACAAATCTCAGAAATAGAAACGTACTTTCCACTCGAAAAATCGTGCTCCCATTTACTCGATCGTTATTCGTCCCTAAGTCTCGTAACTCTAGACTAAGCTCAGAGGAATCTAACAATTCTTTATTTTAAAACCTAAAATACTCCCTTAAATCGTCGTCCGGCGAGAGTTTCAACGGCCAAGGCCGGTGGATCGATTCGAAATCGATCCTCCTCCAGGTGCGTCGACGGAGAAAGGAGAAGCGGCGCGCGGTCTAATTACTCGGGGCAAAGCAGATTCGCGTTCCCCGGGGGATAAAGGGCGGCTCGGAACGATAATACAAATCGGCCGTGCAAAAACGGTCCAGCGATCATTGTTGCGGCGCTCTGTAAGAGTATAAATTTCACAGCAGGTCGGCGGCAACCGATTCGTCGGCAGCCGGTCGCCGTTCCGACGCTGGGCGAGGAACGATGAAGAGGGAAAGATGCTTAGAACGGGCCACCGACCACACGGAATACCGATCTACGGCGTGCGTCCGACAAAGACGGAACCACCAGCGACGAACAGAGAAAGAGGAACGCTCGCAGGATGGTCACAATATTCCGACGGAACTCACGCAGTTCGCGGATGAGCGAGTAGTTCTCTCAGCAGTATAATGGGACCCCCCGCGGTAGCTTACCTGCATCATCGACTAATCACGCCGGATAATAGGGAACAATGGCGCCCCCGTGAAAAGTGAAGCATACCCACCACTTACCTCCCTTTTCACCCTGCCGCGTCTCTGTCTTCTTCCAGTATCTTCCTACCCCCCCTACGAACGTTTTCCTCTCTGTTTCTCTCTCTCTCTCTGCTCCCTCTTGAGATCGTTCCTGCGAGGTTGTTTCTCTCTCTCGTTCCCCCCCTCTGCTCTTCCATCGACGTCCCATCTCCGTCTGTACGCGCTGCGGATATAATCCTCTTACGCACCGGGCACAAAGTAAAATACGGACAACACGAGCGCTCGGGCCGGTGGTTATGGTCCCCTGTATTGCGCCTAGGCACGAAAAAGTGTTCTCGAAAGAAAGGGGGCAGGAGTCGTACACCCGCCCGCCAGAAATCTCTTAAGGCGGTGGTCTGGTCCGAGTGTCTTAAAAAATACATTTTTGGCGCATAATTTTGGCCCATATTTGAGGTTCACTATTTTTTTTACGAAGATATATTCAAAATTGTCGAATGTAGGAAGTTTTATTCTCGTATCAGAGAATCTCGTATTCAGAAACCTTTCACGAACTTTCTAAACAATTTTCGTCCTCCCAAGAATACGGAAATTAAATACATTAATTAGGTGACCTATGAATTCTAATGTTTTCGTTTTACTACGCTCTTTTATATATTGTCTTCATTTTCTTTTTTTTTAATTAATCGTGAAGGGGATAAATATTTGTAGGGCGATTATTAGGAAGTAAAGGAATACCGTGGAGGTCGTAGAGATGGTATATCTACCAAAATTTTTTTAAGATCTTTCCCACGACACAACCGTTTCGCCCTGAATAAGAATAATAATGATTTGATGCTGGTCCATTTAATGAATAGCATTGTCGTCGCCTCCGCGATAAAGATTCGCTATTTAAACTGGTGTTCTCCGCGTCTCACCGGCCGGTCTTTTCAATGGAGCGATCACTGAATCCTTGATTCACCAGACGCGGCTAACGAGTCCGAGAGGGGCTCCTTTAACGATCCTTTCAGAGTCAAGTTGACAAAACGCGGGAGGTGCGTGGCATAATGGGCCGGGTCTGGCTGGTCCGCTCGCGGATCCAGCCGGAAGACCACAAAAGCGCCTCAAAGCGGCTGGATTTCGCGTCGAGTAGGGACGGAGGGACGGTGGGACGGTGGGTGGAGGAAGTAACGCGAAAGTAGGAAAATGATTACACGGCCAGCGGCGTATGCGAGCGGTAAAAGGGTCAAACGCGTGCGTTCTGCTCGCGAGAACGCCACGAAGGACCGAGTTGAAACGCGACAAAGCGTACCATCGCGTCGCCGTGGTGTCTCTGCCCCTCTGTCGGCCCTTCCGAGGTAACTAGAAACCGCTGACCAACCCCAAGAAGCGCAAACGAATCTGAAGAGAGAGGGGGGCCAACGAGCAAGAATAAGAAATTCTTATTAAGAACGCGTGTCAGAGAGTTCAGGGTTTTTCAAACTGTGGACCTTGGGTCCCAAGGGGTTCGTGATTTATCAAAAGCAAAAGAAGCATATTGTATAGGTTGTTGCATAACATGTGGTAGCTAGAGGTGGACAGAGAACATATCAACGATGAAAATGTTTACGTAAATAAGTACTCTGTTTACATGTTTGAGATGTCGTAATATTTCATTAAAAAACTCGGGTGGTAGTATATGATTCCCAGAAGAAAAATCCTGGAAAGAACGAGCCACGAAATAATAGTGCGACACTTACATTAGAAGCATAATACAATTTCCAAATAGCCTTTATTTTCAATAAACCTGCTCCATTTTGAGGATGGAACTCCATCCAAACGTATGCAGATCAATAAGAATCTGTTCTTGAATTTACAATCCGGAGTACATTAAATCCCCTCACCCGAATTGGCCGAAATCAACACACCCTCGTCGTGGAACAAAGAATAGCCAAAGAAAAAGCAACAGCGACGAGTATCGCGAAAAGAATCGCGCGGTCCACTCTTAATTTCCGACGCCCGGCGTGTATTTAAGCTCCGCGCGAGGTGACTTCGGTCGAGCGGGGGTGTGGGGTGGGGCACGACTCGGGGGTTCCCTGACTCGGAACGAGAAACTCGCCCCCGCGGTCGGCTACGTGCTCGGAGTATTTGTACGCGCGAATACGCGGCTCTGATACACCGACGCGCATAATGCATGTGGTTATAGAGAGCGAGAAAGGTGGGCCGGATGGGAGGAAAAAGAGGGAGCTACCGGGATAGCGGTAACCAGATAGAGGGAGACGGTAGAACGAGGTGGAAGGGAGAGAACCAGTAGATTAGGTGGGTACATCGCGCGACTGCGGCGAGGACGTTGGTATAGAATACGGATATAGGTGGTACGGCAACTGCCATCGTGCCACGGGGTAGCAAGCCAGTGTATAAGAGGGAGCGAGAGGCAGAGCCGCGAAGCTGGAACGCTGAGGAAAGAGGGGAAACGACGGTGGAAACGAGGGGAGAGGACGCAGGGGGTGTCGAGGGGGGTAGGCTATAAAGGCTAATTGGTTAAAAGCTCACCGCTGGCTGCAGGCTTAAATCAAGATCTTGGAGTGTTATAATGGATAAGTAACACGGCCAGGCACGGGCACCACCAGCGGAGTTGTGTGTTATCCCCACCCCCCCGTCCCCCTATCGGGGGTACGGTAGGTAGCCTCGCTAAACCACCGCAGCCACCCCCATTCCGCGATCCGCAGGATCGTCGAGGGCGAGTATCTTTCGAGTTAAGGACGCCGCGGCTCACGCGATTGGCCCGCACCTACGGCTACCCCCGTGCCGGATACACTCTGCCACGAGTCATCGATCGCGCCTCCACCCTATGAGAAATCGCGAGATCCATCCCCCTCGGAGAGCCATTTGCTCCGCCCCGCCCGCTGCCCCTCCAACAACGACACCCCTTCTGGCAACTTGCAGCTTAGCCGTCCCTCGGCCCCCCTCCACGAGCCCGTCCACCCTTCCGTCTCCGTCACGTTTTCCTCCCTCTCCCTCGAACCCATCCCTTCGGCCTGTTCGTCCGTCCTTCGGTAGTCTATCTATCCGACGCGCAACTACCACCCCGTGACTCTCGAAGCGTGACTCCGTGCTCCGTCCTCGTCCGCCACGCGATCTCGATCTTCCTCCTCTTGCTCCCACTCCCGGCATCTCCACCCCTCGTACCTAAGCCCCCCTCGTCCCTCGGAGGCTCTCCGTCGCACCGCGCGTTCTGGCTGCGTGCGCGAATGTTCGAGCAAGGCCCTCGTTCGTGTGACCTGTGGTTTCTACGGCGTTTTCCTACCCTTAGTGCGAGCACAGTGCCCATCCGCAGTCCATCACTCGCCACGAAACGCGTCCACGATAAACCCTCGGTGTCTGGGAAGCTCTCCGTACGCGCGTCACGGTCCAATCGTTCCGGGCTACCCTGTTCGCCTCCGTTTGGCGAGGAGATCGTTCCGCGCGTCGCGTGCCACCGGATCCGCGAACAACGCGGCAATAACGACCAAGGGCAGGGATCGAGCACGCGAGTACTCGAGGAACGAATGCGCGGCTGGGCGAGTGATTAACGATCAACGGTAGAGAAAGTGACTCGAGGAAGTGACTCGGTGTTACTCTTGGCGGTTTTACACGCACGACGACGTTTCGCGAATAGACGCGGCTAGAGAAGAGGGGAAGAGAGGGCCGACGGAGGAGACGAGGAGAAAAGCTAGGTGTCAGAGTGGTAGGCGGCGGGTAGGAGGTGCTGCCGGATACACACGTACACACGCACGACAGGAAGGGGTGGTGGAGGATAGGTTGAAGGACGAGAGGGGTGGTCAGAGAGGGTGGCACTGGAAAGGGTGGGCCCTCCAAGTGTCTTGTCTCCTATCATCCTGTCGTCCAGGGTATCGCTTACGAATGTCGCGCGATCGAGCGATCCGTCTCCGATCCACGACTACGAGGGACTTCCGGCCGACGGAGGCGACGCGACGTGCACGCTAGGTCGCCCGGAGAGCCAGCACCGGCATTGTTGGCCTGATATGCGACGCGAGGGATTGGAACCGGTCCGCGTGTCGGACAGACTCTGCTGGGCCGTCGGTACGTCGACGGAGCGACCGGTGCGATTCTGACGGGAGGGAGAGACGGCCGACGAAACGATCGTGCTAAGTGGAAGAGGTGACGAGTCGTGTGTGGTCGGTGACGGGACAGTCGAGGGACTCGAACCAATCGTGCCGTGCACGGGGATCCCCGGACCTTGGACCGGGCTCGCTGGACGCGCGTCAACGATGTCGGGCGAAACGGAGATCGAGGTGTCGGTGGTGTCGGAAGAGGACCTGGAGCTCGAAGGATCGAGGAGCAGCTCGACGCCCGCGGAGCTGCTCCTCCAGGAGAAGAACGGCAAGCCCGGCTGCGGGCTAAACAATCACCACTCGTTCAGCTTCGACGTCGGCAAACCGGTGCTCAGGCCAGCCTGCAATCCTCAGTACACGTCCTTCAGCATCTCCAGCATCCTCGGCAGGCCCGAATCGCCGCCCGTCGACTCGACGTCCACCGTGTCCGGCGAGAGGCAGTCCTCGGACGTGGACAGAGCCTCGCCGTTGCCGCAGACGCAGAACTCCCAACGGATCGGATCCGCTTGCGACAGCCCCGGTAGAGGCCTGTCGTCGCCCACGCCTTTGAGGTACTCGTCCACGCAACGGAGCACCTCCACGGTCGGGCACGAGATCGAGAACAGGAACAATACGACCAGTATCGGTATCGGTTGTGCTACCAGTGCTACCAGCCCAGCGACCAACTTCTCACCCCCTAACGACGCAGCTGCGAATCCGCTGTTGGGACACCAAGCGTCGGCCGACTTGGCCATGCTGTCGAGGTACGTTCGCTTTCTATTCGGTTTCCTTTAACAGACGTAGTTCCCGTCGAATCCTTGTGCAATCGTTGCTATGGTAGCCAGTGGTAGAACAGGACTGCGTTCGTTGCGATTAGGTCGTCAAATTGGGACTGTTGTTGTCCGGTGATAGTGTCGATCTCTAACGTTTGCAGGGATCAGTCGCTCTGTGTTTCGTGTCGTAAACGTTAGAAATCGAGGGTTGAGAAAACAAGAATAGATGCACTTGTACATGTTCTTTAGTTATACATTATCCTGTCGAAGGATGGGAAATAAAAGAGTAGTTGGAGTGTTGACATTCTGATCAACAATGGCGCTCGGAAGCGTGTCGTATTGTTGCTGTGAAAATCAAGGTCTAAGCGCGGGAAAATGCGTTATAAGATCGACCCGTCGCATCGGTACGTCACTTGTGTTGCCTAACAGTTGGGTTATGACGTCTCTGCACGTTGTGTTTGCATATTAATTCTAAGAAAAGTAACACACCTATCGATTTCAAATTTTGTACACGCGCTCGGGGGTGCTTTAGGCATTTGCACAAATATGATCAATCGTTAATCATGCCTTGGTTATATATTATTGAAGGAAAAGTTAGCTGGAAGATTAAGACGGTTATATTCATAGTCACTCTGGTAAACAGTTCTCAAGAATAATCTGTTGCAACCATTAATTTTAAAATAGGTATTAGACCTATCCAATTTCAACTTTTACAAATGTTTGTAAATGCTTCAGGTAGTTGTGCACACTTTCGTCAAGCATTATAGATCGTTCATGCTCAAATTTTGTACTGTTACGTCGGAGAACATAGAGAAAATGTTGTTGACAGGATTCTTAATCGTTCTGGTAAACAAACAGCGTCTCACGTCGCAGAGATGTAAAAAGACGCGGAGAAATGCAATCGAGAGCTCTTGTTTACGTACGATTAATCCTCTGTCATGGCTTTTCGTATGATTATGCTCGCGTTAAAAAGTGCGACAGTTTGTCCATATTCTGTTGAGCCATTCAATCGGATTCCGCTATTGTTGCTCGAAGCGTACTGTTTAGCCCGTCGCGTCGCATAGTGGCGCGAAAGCAACGGTGATCTTCGATTAAACCCTCGACAATGCCAATTACTTTTAACTTCTGAAGAAAATTAAGTAACAGAAATAAATATAATAATCGAATACGAATTGCAAGGTATATTCTAACACGAATATCCTCCCAAGTGTATTTATCACCGTGTTAGAAACTGTAACGTTGTAAACAGATTTTCTGGCGACCATACTGACGCTGCAAATGAAAAAGTGAAATCAGGTTTCGAAAACAAAAGATAAACAAGTATATGACCAAAGAATCGCACAGAGTTGCGAAGGGTTAACCTACCGACGGCCTCGAGACTTCGAAACTATCGAACATTTGCTCGTTGTTCGCATAATTTTGTTACAGTAATGTAAACAATGCACGACGTTTCGAAGTGTCCTGTATTTTCACTGTCTTTCGAGCTTGCTAAACATTATTATCTCCGTGATCGTGAAGAATAGTTAATTGCTTTAGACGATCCAACGAAATATAATAGCAACAGCGTATTTGTCGCTGCAATTTACGGTATAGTTCAACTCGATGCAACTAACATTTCGCATTAACGCGTCAATACTAGTGAATGGAGCTATTAATGTTTACTAATAAGGAATTAGCGTGCGCCATCAAGTTTATATATGCGCCGCAATGTGTACCAGCCGCGCATTTAATAATAACTATTTCATCGACGATCATTCTCCGTCGTGAACGATTAACGTTCATCGATGGCGATCTTGAAGCGTCGATGATGACCTCGACCCGAATCTTCAGGTATTTCTCCTGGCCGGACATGTTTCGCGAATGTCATCGATGATCGATGGCTATAGATAGGAAAAGACGCGATCAAACCATACTCGACAGTCTCAAACTTGAACCCTAGTGTCACGAAGCAGATTTCGACACAAGAAGATGACCTCATTTTCGGTAGAAACAAGATTATTGAATATTTCATCTAATACTATCGATAAAATGTTGTTTCGAACAACGCTCAAAAAACTTAGACCCTTCGTGTTTAAATCTTCAACAGAAGCGGGATTATTAAATGCTTTATTTAATATTATAGGGTCTAATTAATTCAAACTCCTCGTGTTTCGATGTTCAAAATGCCAACGCAAACATTCCTGGCTGGAAAAATTTTCTTCTAAATAGAGGTGAGATTTATAAACACTTTATCGATCAGTATCAATATTTAAAACAACGTTCGACCAGCTCATAAACCCATCCAGGAATAACAACAACAATCTGTAAATGGCTCTAAACTGTCTCAAACTTTTCGAGTTACTGATAGGCATCTTAAGTCAAACCTCCATCAAACCTTTGTCAAATAATAGCACAATTCCTTACTTAGCCTAGAGAATCTTTGTTTCTATTCTTACAGGTGTCAGTCTTACACCATTCAACGAGTAGTATCAACTATCAGCGTCTATAGACGATCCTCTATTATCCATTAGTATTTTTACAGTAATATCAACAAGGAAACTATTATCAAATAACTCAAACCCTTTCAAACTCAGTCTTAGACCAAAATTCAATTACTATGAACCAATATCACCTACACTCCTTATCTTTAGTCTACAGGATCTTCTACTCTATTATTTTCTCTTTCATAAACCTTTAAAACTATAGTCAACAAACTCAAATCACTTGAAACTCAATTTTCGACATCATAAATGAATTACTGAAATCTTCTTTTTCATTATTCAACCTTTCTTAAGCCCTTCCACGAATAACGCCAATAACCACTGTCTACAGATCATTTCCAACCGATTCAAACTCTACGAAACTCAGATTTCTACACCGTAATTAAAATCTCTGTCGAATAATGCCACCTAAATTCCTTCTATTTCGCCTAGACTACCTCTCGATCGTCGGGGGTTGCTCACTTCAATTGCTTCCACGACCAACATCAACGATCAAGCTCCGTAGACCACTCCCAACAAACTCAAACTCCTCGAACCTCAGTTATCACCGTCGTAAGTCAAACCGCCATCAAATAATGCCGCCTAAATTCCTTCTGTTTACCCTAGAGTAACTCTCGATCGCCAGTGGGACGTTCGCCTTAACTACCCCCAACGACCAACATCGACAAGGTCCAACCCCTTCCTCGACCAACTCGAACTCGGTAAACTGCAAATTGAATGTGCGAATTCCTCTCGAACGGCTCGGTAAAGCCCTCTTCTCACGATCCGAAGACGCTATCCTACCGTCGGATAGCCCGTTCGAAATTAGGAGGCCAACCGAGCTCTTTTGATACGAGACGCGGACCGCAGATGAAATTTTCGTGGGCGTGAGTGCTCTCGGATCAAGATACACGACGATGCAGGGGACAGTGACGAGGTAGGCGGGGGTTGATAAAGTAGCAGGGAGAAGAACGCGTGCGGTGAGGATTATATTATGTGGGAATGGACCGAGGGGGTCCGTAATGGGCCTATTAGGCTGTCTCATTTAATAACAACCGTAGCAACAACCACCCTCTTACATTACTTACGTTACTTAGGGCCGGCTCTGTATCGAGTGTATCCACGAGGAACCCGAGCACGGCACTGTGCCACGAGGGGCCGCCACGCTGAGGGTTCGAGATGATTTTATCAGATTTACACCCCCTTCCGATTGACGGCTACCCCCGCGGTAACCGGCTGCTCGATGTTCCCGGCTCGATGCCTCCGATTGCTTGTTTTCCACCCGTTTACCATTTGATTAAGTTCCACTCGTATGCACCATTACTCGTCTGACGAACAGGGAAATGGTTTTCCGTGGGGCACCGGCGTCGGTGCCCCCCGCGCGGGGGTGTGTTACTCGGGTGATCCCGATTGCTTTCGGAGGAGAGGGATTCCCGATGATGATTCTGTCGCTCGACGCCCAAACACGATCGCGTCCTGTTTGAGCGAAGGGAACGGGACACTCCGTTCCCGGGTATTTGGCAGGACGCCAAAAAGGGCTGGAAAGTAGGTATTTTAGGGGGAATTTGGGATTTTTGTCGTCCATTGTACCACGCTCTGAGATTAAACGACGTGAAATATTGGGAACGTAGGTGGCAACGGGAGAATTCTGAATGTTAATAACGACGAAATTTTATTTCTGCTGGCGCGGGGACACATATTCACTGATGAAGGCCTTTAGAATAGCTCTGACGACATCTTAAATCAAGAACTAGGGACGAAGAATTTTATTTCCGAATATATGGAATTATTCACGATGGACGGTGTATTCGTGAGGACGCTGTTGAGGGTTTTCCAAAATAAAAGTAGCCGTATCGATCCTCGGATGAAGTTCATGTTTACCCTCAGAAGAGCTAAGAAATGACCGCCAATTGATAGGCAAACCTAGGATAGAAAGGTCGGGGACCTGTTCGAGGGAAGATCGAATATCAGGGGGCGGCACGAAAGTAGAAAAGAATCAATTAGGCGACGGTTGCATAATACATTAGCGGATGAAACACCAGCGTAGTCAAAGTTAAGAAGCCTAAGGTTCCCGGGAGAAATGGGCACCTATCCCGCCCATTTCAGCGCGGCCCCTGGCGTCTTCCGCGAAGAGGAAGCGAGCAACTTCTAGGTTTGATTTATTATTAAATTGGTGCCTACGGTATCCAGCGGAGTCTTGGTCTTGCCAAGGTCGGCTAAGTACACGAAAAGCTTGCACCGCGAAATCTTCCCCGCCGTCTCGACGCTTAACGCCAGCCCTCTACCCCCCCGTACCCCTTCTGTTCGCCCCTAAACTGATACGGTAATAGCATTTCCCCGGGAGAAGAGATTTCAGCAGAAAGGATTCCCGTGTAGAATATTATCCGAATTAGATGCTCCTCGAATTTACCTCGCCTCCGTTCGTTCTACGCGGGACGACGACGCTGCTGGCGGAAGCGCGTTAAGCTCGAGTCGCGATACCGTGACTGTAAACTGCTTTCCGCCGACGAAGGGATACGGCACGAAACGCGC